GCCTCACTCCATTTTTCTACATAATTTTGCTTCGTCTTCATTTACCGTCATATCTTCTTCAACTCGCATAACACAGAGTGAAGAGATTTTGTGAGCATGTGAGTTACAGTGATTCTGAAGGCTTTCAATAATCCAGTCGTCATCTCAGAGATGTTCTTCATGTAGAGTAACACAATACGTTTGTTGCTTTTCCAGGTTGACTTCTTGTTTAACGACAAACTATGCAATCATCGATTGATGAAATTAATTGCATAGACAGCTGTTCACCTGCAAAGCAGACATTTAATCATTTCCTTCTCTTCTCCACAAGATACATGAATTACAGTCTGTCTTCACTCTCTTCAACATTGCTTTCATAAAACTCATTTTGTGTGTGTTGTTGAGTTGTAACTATTCCACTTCATGGTTTGATCCGCATCAATTGGCTTTCAGTACAGTTCAGTTTACAGAGCTGCAAGTTTGTTATTTCATTACTCTTCCATCGTGAATTTGATGTCGTCGAGGATGTTGTCGAACTAATTGTCAGCGTTTTTCACTCGGCTTTTTCTAATCATGACAAACGTGTCATCTACTCACCAGACCCAATATTTTGGTCTCATCAACGCCAGTATCACACTTTCCAATCTTCACATATGTCGTCTCCTTCACTGGTATTCCCTTTGTCTGTTTGTAGCCTTCACCTTCAATTGAAAGTATGTTGTGAGAGGTAAATGGATTGATTCCATTGAAATGGAACATTTTAGTTGTGTGTGTGTGTGTGTGTGTGTGTGTAACAATGCTGAGGATGTAGAATTATTTCATGTTTGATCAGTTTCAGTTCATCGGAGGTGTGTAGCGTTGTTTCACTGACAGACACCATTACTTCGTCCTTGTCAATATCGGTATGCCTTGTATTTTCCGAAAGTTTTCAATTGAAGTGTTATTTGAGTAGTCAGATGATTCTGTCAGTTGTTTTGTATATACTTTGAATAGTTCTAATGAAAGGCTGTATGTCGGGTTTTCTGGAAGTGAAATAATTAGTCATAGTGACATGTTTAGTTTATGTAATTTGTGTCTATTATCGAAATGTGAGAGAACAGGTGCTTTGAATTTCATTGATTATTGCTTCTAGTTTGTATTTTGTCGCGTTTTGATAAGTTTGTTCTAGGTGTTGTTGATATTGGAGTCAACATCTGAATGGAATTAGCTTAGATTGGTTGTTATAAATTTCAGTCCATGAGTAAGTTTTCTGCCTTTCTAATGTAGTGGTCTTTACTCATGACTACTGTAGTACGCCCTGTGTCAGCTGGAAGGATAACGACGTTTTTTTTATTCTTTAGTTTCCTAAGAGCTCTATTTTTTTCACTTGTTACTTGAGTACTGTTGTTTTTCTTCTGCTTGGTCAGAAGTATGAGAACTTATCGTATTTCCTGTTGGTTCTCAAAGTTTAATCCTGAAGTCTTCAGCGATACCTCTAGTGATGCAAATAATTCTGGTAATGAAGCGTCTCCCATATTGTTATCTGATCCTCCATAGAAATGATCAAACCTGTAACAGATACTGCTGTCTATTTCCACATTCTTCTCTGTAGAATTGTTCGAAAATATGATTAGAAAGTTTGGTAATCTTTTCTTCCAATTATGAGGTTTTAATCTTATCAAAAATTTCCAATATTTGTTTTTATACTACTGAATTTTATATACTTTTTTAAACTTACACTTTTTTCTATTCCTGATCCTGGTAGACATAACTACTGGTACGAATTATTCGTGCGATAAGAAGTAGGCTTTTATAGATGGAGAATAATAGGATACAAACCTTCATTTTAAAGTGGTCACTATCATCAATTAACCGTTCATCAGATAATGTACCATATTTCACTTCACTTATCTAATTAATTTAACTTTCAAGAGGCTACATTTTTATTTGAAATCCTTTAGAAACATTCTTTTTTTGTTTCTTGTCTATTTGAATACAACCTCCTTTTTTTTTACTGTTGATAAGTAAACTTTTTCAAGTGGGTCTAACAGTAGGAAAATCTGAGTAATTGAAGAGAATTATATAAATTTTAAAGAATTAGCCGATAAATTTTCAAAAAGGAAACAGTCATGAGATGTAGTATTTTATTATCGTTATTCCGTAAATGGACATCTTGAATTGGAATGGAATAATATTTATTGTAAGAAATTAAATAGTCACTTTCATCTAAGTAAGCATAGTGCAGCAAAATAATTCGTTTTTATAGTTGTTCGAACAAGGAACTCTGACAACCAACCAACCGAGAACCTATTTCCAAATTAATAGGTAGAAGAAGAAAATGGAGATGGATTCGATTAGACATACACTTAGAAAACCATTCAGAGACATCACATGCTAGGCTGGGTCCTCGAGTAGAAGCCAAATGGAGAACGATGAATTGAGCGTCCAAAAGTGATATGGAGAAGGTCATGTGAGGAAGAAATTAAAAGCTTCTTGACAGTCTTGGAGCCAGGTTGAAAAGACTGGAGAGAAGGGAGTGAATTGGCCACATGTTACAGAAATCCTATGTTCTACTAGAACCCCCAGGGACAAGTAATAATAAAAATAACAGTTACGTGAAAAAGACTGAAGACTATTCACATGTTGGAAAATTAAGTAAATAAAAAGGATTTTTCGTCAATTTGTTATTCATCATGGATGGACATCACTTAGGAGAAACACTGGAACGCGGAAGCACTGCTAAAAAAACAATAAATCTCCACACACCCCTAAAATCTGTTGATCTAGTGCGCATTGGTGACTAGCTTCTAGAAGTGATTTCTAAAGTTCCAATGAGAAGTCGTGACCGGTGGGGAAAACCTGATGATACAAGAGTTGGAAATACGAACTCTTGAATTCCGATCAAGTGGCTCAATGCTAATGTGCTGGCAGTTGAACCAGAAAGTTCTGGATTCGATCTTTGATGGAGCTGGGTCATGAGTGTGCACTGCTGAGGAGTCATATACTAGGATGAACTAGCTGTCCACTACTCTCAGGTTTCCAGTGTTTCTCCAACAGATATCATTCCATGATGAATATCAACTTGAAACATCTCTAAATCGTTACAAACCATCAAATGAAATGAAAGTGGCTAGAATAACTCTGGAGTAACGTCGCTGACTATGACAGTGGGTGATGAGACTTAAGTCTCAGAAAGGCCATTAATGCCTTTTGAGGTTGCAAATGCTCTCTGTGGTGAATGTCAAAAAGCACTGAATGTGGTTCAGGTTAGGCTTCTTTCCAATGTCTTGAATCATCTGACATATATATACATATATATAAATATTCATTACCATTTGACTATCTGAGATAGTCGTAGTTTGGTGGACTGATATTTATACTGGGTGGTGATTGAAGGTGAGATGAAAATTTGTACCACAGCCGGATTCCAACCAACGACCATCGATTTCCAGTTCGATACTCTACCAACTGAGAGGTAGTAAAGTCTCACAAATTCACATGGTAGTCAAGCAAAACCCTTAGTGACTGAAGTGAAATAAAATGTGGTCAGGAGTTGGATCTCGTGGATCAGTTGGTAGAGCATTGGGCAGGAAACCCGGTGGTGGCTGGTGGGAATCCGGCTGCGGTCCAAATTTTTATCTTACCGAACACCACCCAGTACAGATATATAAATATAAATATTTTGAGCCTTGAGGAACTTCTCTTGCGCTCAACTTTCAACGGAGTTTAGAATGGTTGCATGCTTTATGAACCTCCTACCAATATAATAATGATACTGTATCAAAGACAGGCCCAGGTGCAACATATCTGGTTGAAAACTTTTCTTTCATTAACAAATCAATTTAATTCATAAAACTGTGAATTGGAAACATGGAAAAAAGACGCGGAAACTTATACTGCTGAACATCAGTATTCATCTTTGGAGTTAGAAGTTTCCACAAGGAGGAAGCATAAAGTCTGCATCGTCAGATTATAATAATGTATACCGTTCTAATAGATAAGTTGATGAAAAGTAGCAGTTGAAGATAATGAAGACGTTGAGCATTTTCCTTCACTTTTTTTCAATGCCTGACACTATTAGGCAACATCATTTTGGATCTTGTATAAGATCATTTTCAAAAACAAGATTCAAAAATACTAAGATCTATTAGGAGTTGACTTGTCAAATTACGACAGTATCTTAAAGATCCAACTACCAACCATTGCTTCGACACTATCCTTCAGTTTTAAATAAGCAATAATAAAAGCATGAAGATGCTTCTGAATAGGAATGGTGGTGTGCACACATGACTTTAAATTGTGGATCAACAATAAATGTTATAACCATCGTTTCCTATATATGATGATTTGTGGTTAGCAATCTTTAAAGTACGTTGATAAAATATGAATTCACAGGTTGAAAAGACTTTGAAAAGGACTCGAATTGAACAAAAAGAGTTTTGAACGAGAATGCTAGTGACTTACAGAATCACTTCTAGAAATCAGTCTTATAAAATCTTTTAATCATCAACAACACAGAGTTGAATCTCGAGGATTTTGACTATTTCTTCAACTTGTCAATGTTTCGCCTCATATGGAATCCAATACAAATCTCTTTATGAACGTTAAGAAAGGAGGCCTGCAGAGTCTATAAAAAAATTAACCAGACTTTAGCCTCAGTACTCTAAATGACGGAAAGTACCAAATATCATTCAGGCTAAAACCCGTCCTGAACATCCTACCTTTCCTTGAGTGAAAATAGACTTGCAGTGTTTGGCGCAGCGCTGCAAATGAACACTTCTGAGTAATCTTGACGGTGAACAGCTTTAATAGCCATCTAGGGCCTGATGGTTTCAGTCGCTTATCTGGCTGACGTTGATACTCATGATCATTGACATCCGTCCGCTGATTTCTGTCTACACCTAGTGGAGGATGTACACAAAAAGGTTAGGCAGAGTATATATCCTCATATTCTCAGTTTCGATCCTCCTTCAATGTTATCATCGTAGTAATGTCTTTAAGACGCAGCATAACATTTTTCTTCTTCTTTCAAACTTTTTTAGGACCTCCTGGTCCACCAGGTCAACCAGGTTCACCAGGTGCTAGGGGCCCTCCAGGTAAGTGGATTACTTTCCTATTGTGTTTATTAATTTATTCTATATACGATAGCTGCAAATTGTATCGTATGAACAATATCATTCTAAAGCCTGAAGTGAGTACTTCAGAGTGATCTAAATCTAAATGACAGGTAGTTATTTCAGCCTTTTCTAATCTCACATTCTAAGTTATTTTAAACTTCCAAAGTAATCCAGTAAACGAGTTAGATCACTTTCTTTAAATTCATAAACATAGTCTATACAGTGTTCTTTATCAAAATATTCTCCGCTATGCAGTTTCCCATCTCAGCCTACTTGACCATTTGCATTTCAGCTTGTGAGCAGTCACTCATGATAGAGATATTTTCAACTAACAGGATCAAAATACGATATTATGCATCCCATAGACTTTATTGTAGGATACAACTAAAGGAATTAACTACTATGAACGACCTTTGAATGAATGATCGCACTGATAAAGGGTTCAGAATTGCAGGCATGGACTTCATTGTTACAAAACTGAATACTCTAAGGACACTGAGTGTGACCTGCGATAGATAACTTACTATTCAACATTTATATATATATATATATATATTTACATCCAGCTCTGCATTGAAAACTATGACCGGAATAGGCTGGCTGGATTCAGGAAAAACAAATCATGTGCGGATTAAATTGCAACGCTACGCATCATCATAGAACAAAGCATAGAATGGCAGACAACACTCGACCTCTACTTCATCGATTTTGAAAAGGTCTTCTATCGAGGCGTCGACCGAGAAGTAATTTGCCAACTGCTCCAACACTACACAGTGAGTGACACGAGCCTCTATCAATCTCATTAAACAGCAGCTTTACACTATATGATGAGGTTGCATGCCAAGTGATTGACAGTAGAAAGCATGGTGATGCCTTTGAAGTGAAGTGAAGACAGGTTGACAGGTAAGACAAGGTTGCCGCCTACTATCACTGATGATCTTCCTAATTGTGGTCAACTGGACTAGACTGAATCATGCAACAGAATTTGAGAAGCGAGAAGATGGGAATGCGCCGTTTCACCGATGAGAAGACGCTAGAAGTTATGGATTTCGTCGATGCTCATTTATGCATAGTGTCTTCTGTCGCACAACCTCAAAGATATACAGGCGATAACCAACAGGTTAACAGAAAAGACAGGGCAGTGAAGACTGGACTTCGTTCAGGTGAACGCAGAGACTACACAGGTTATGAAAATACCCAAACAACAACAACAAGCACCAATCACCATCATCAATCACTATCAACGGGAGAAATATCAAGGAAGTTGCCTCCTTCACCTACCTACCTACCTACCTACCTACCTACCTACCTACCTACCTACCTACCTACCTACCTACCTACCTACCTACCTACCTACCTACCTACCTACCTACCTACCTACCTACCTACCTACCTACCTACCTACCTACCTACCTACCTACCTACCTACCTACCTACCTACCTACCTACCTACCTACCTACCTACCTACCTACCTACCTACCTACCTACCTACCTACCTACCTACCTACCTACCTACCTACCTACCTACCTACCCACCTACCTACCTACTTACCTAGGAGGCAACATCGTTTCAACTACAAACAGCACAAGCACTGGCACTGGCACAGATGACGATGTCGAAGCAAACCACAATCACAAAGACAGCAAGACAGGCCTTCCCACATTAATCTCAAATAATCAATGTGGAGATCTACTGCAATCCACTGAATTGCACTGCACTCAGCATAAAGCCTAAACAACATCCGGATTTTCAACACTAATTCAGTCAAGTAAGTCAGTGCTTCTATGTGATGATTGAGAGACTTGGTGAGTTGCGAAAAGCATTTCCGACAAACTACAAACATACGTCACATGGACAGCTGCCACCTACTCTCGTTCCATATTGGAGATGGAGACCAGATGGTCAGAATAATAAGAATGAGCAAGGATGAACTCTGGCCTGCAACGAATCAACCGTACAACCAAGAACCAAGAAATCTTCTTGGCAGTTGTGGATCGAGGTTGGAAAGAGTGGAGAGAAGGTAGTGAAATGGTGACGTGCCATTGAAGCGCTATGTCCCACTAGGAACTCATAGGACAAATAATAAATAAAAGCAGATAGTAGCAGGGATTGAAATCTAACGTCAATAAGTAGTATCTTTGATTATCCATGATGTTCTGTGCTTTTTTCATGAGATGATGGTCATTATTATTTTTTGTAGGAGAAACTGGACCTCAAGGACCTCCTGGACTACGTGGGTTAATTGGTCTACAAGGCCCAAAAGGTGAGTTGATTTATCCTTCATTTATCACTAGTCTATCCTTAGTAAATACAGTTTTCTTGACAAAAAATATTTAACAAATTCTTGTTGAATCCAGTAAAATGAACTTTCTTTATCAATAAAAGAATAATGGCTATTTTATGAGGCCTGAATTTGGCTGTTTTGATCCCATGAAATCAGAACGGTCACCTTTTGAAGTGATTAGTTGGTTTGTATTATTTCAAATATTAAACTGAAAAATGTTTTACTTAGCTCACAGATGATGATTGAAGGCGAAATGAAGATTTGGATAGCGGGCGGATTTGAACCAGTCAACACCGGGTTTCTTGCCCCGTGATCTACCAATTGAGCTACGAGGTCCGGCTGCCGACCATATTTTTATTTCATTTCAATCATAAAAGGTTCCGCCCTACTTCTATGTGAATTTGTGATACGTTACTATCGCCTGATTATGTTCACGCTGGCTACCTAGTCAAGACTTCTCGTCCTAATTCAAATCTAACTGAATTAGAGAGGAGGAGCATCATATTGACTATCATTCCGACGATCTGAGACCGATAATCCAGTATCACTAATAGTCTGCCAAACCACGGCTGCTGTCTCAGATAGTCAAAATGATAATCAGTATGATGCGCCCTATCTCTAATTCAGTTACATTTGGATTGACAGGAGAAGTCCTTACTAGGCAACCAGTGTAAGTACGATTGAGCAGTAGTAACGTATCAGGTAAAACCCTTGGTGACTGAAGTGAAATAAAAATTTGGTCAGCAGACGTACCTCGTAGCTCAGTTGGTTGAACATAGTGACGGAAACCCAATGGTGGCTCGTTCAAATCTGGCCACTATCCAAATTTTCATTTCAACTTAAATCATCACCCAGTACAAAAAACATGAAAGATTTTTTGCACTCTAAGATTATCAGCATCCAGATGGATCTGTTAGGAGAAGCATATTTTTAACGACTATACTTGAACTTACTAAAACTAAACTCTCTCTTACAATCATCATTCCGCTTTAGTTCACATCACAGAGATGAAAATTATGTTTTCCTCATCGGTCAAACATACCAGACTAAATTCATACTCTGAGTAACTAAGAGTGTTCAAGTAACCAGTTCATTAAGATGCTCTTTATTTCAATAGGTTGCATTGATCTAACCATCAAATCTATTTAAAACCGAACAAAAACAAGGGGCAGCACAAAATTCATTTGACTTTAACATATTTCAAGAGAATTTTGAGCAACTCTCCCGTATATCTACTTATACAAATCTCATATGACAATACAATACCCTAACCCTAATCATGGATAACAGATTTAAACATGAACCAAATCTTCATTGTAAAGTTAGTTACTTGTGCTTTGAAAAAAGTAAGAAGAGATATTTGTTCATTCAAACCGAAAACTGAAAAATTAAACACAAGGGAATCACTGAATTTCCTTCAGGTAAGTACTTCGAATAGATAAGACTTAATTCGTCCTACAAGTTACAAAGTTGTGTTGTATTATATTGAGTGAGCACTGCTGAAGAGTCCCATACTAGGATGATACAGCTGTTCAGTGTCTCCAGGTTTCCAATGTTCTTCCAACTAACGTCTATCCATGGTGAATTATTATTATTATTTGTTATTATTATTTATCTCTTGGGTTCCTAGTGGAACATACGGCTCCAGTAGAACGTCTCCAGTGCACTCTGTTCTCTGCAATCCTTTCAACCTGTCACAATGACTGCCCAAAAGCTCTAATTTCTTCCTTGCACGATCTCCTCCATGTCACCCTCGCCTGGCGCGTGATGTCCCCAGTCGGCCTTCTCAGTGTATGCCCAATCCATCTCCACTTTCTTCTGCATATCTGTTAAGCCATAGATTCTTGGTTATCCATGGTGAATAGAAACCTTAAATCAATTAAATCCTCAATGAAACTAATAAATGGATGGAAGATGGAAATCACTTTAGGCAGAACCAAAAAAATTGAAATTTTGACATTCGCTAGAGTAATAATACCACCATTCTATTTGTCTTGTGATACCGATTGGGTTATATATCCTGTTGTTGTTGTTGTTTTTTTAACGTTACTTGTAATTTAGAATAATTTTCTTAACTGTAGATTAAAATGCCTTCTTTTAGCCTGATAGTTATAAAAATCTTTCAAGATGGATTAGATTCTACAATATGGAAGATAAATTCCATCGAAGAGTAGTATAGAATTTAGCTGTTAATTCCAGGCAAGAATAAAATTTTAATTCCATAGAAATGAAATTAAAGTTATAAATAAAACACTATTTTGCTACAGTGTTTAAATATCATTTAATCAACTGGTTTAAGTTGGTGTAATTGCTTCTTTAAGGTTTCAAAACGTAGACAATTTCATAAGAGAAAAGTAAAGAGTCAACAATATGATAGGAATGTATTTTCGCCCCCTTTTTTTACCTTCTGACAATTTTAGACATGAGTTAACTATAAAACTAGCGAGAATTCACCACTTGTCATTGATAAAATTGCCTTCAGTTCATGACACTACCATCCATCCTTACTTTATTTTCTACCAATTTATTGTAAATATAAAACGGTAGAAACTTGAATAATGAATCCATTAGAATGTTCCATTATCAAACCATTTATTGAGAATACAATGAAGTTTTTCACTGAAATAACTTTTTTATTGCATTTTCAGTTTCTTCAATTTTCTCTTCAAGAAATATCTTCTTCTGAGAAATTCATTTTATTTGTCGACTTCAATTTATATGTTCAATATCTTAACAATTTAAATTAGATTTCCCGCCTTCATTTCGCGCCAAAAATGAGTGGGGAAAATATAAAACAAAATGTATCTTTTTTTTGCATTTTTATAAGAATTAAAGAGAAAGATAGGTACTTTTAAAATGGTTGATAAATATATTAGTCAAAAAGGGGAAGTAATCAAAGAAACAAGTTTTGTTGCTTAAAAAGACTTTTCTTAAATTAGATTAATACAATATTTTTTAAAGTTTATGTTATTTAAATGTCATTATTCAAGTGACTGATCAGTGAAAAAATTTGTTATACAATTAACCGCTGTTCTTATGAGAATAGCTTATTTTCACTGTCTAACTTATTCAATGAATAACTTGGACGAAAGTGTTTCTATAATCCCAGTTAATTAATTAATATCAGGAACAAAATGGAATGGAATAAATTAACATCTCCTTTACAGATTCTTAAAAGAAATTCTGCTTTGATACATAAGATCTAATCATTTTTCAAGTGGAATCGTAAATATGTCGCTTTTAGTCTAAAGTTTTAACAGAAGTTTCGTTGATAATGTAAACTATTTCAGTAACAAGATTATATGATGATTAGTGGTTACAGACTATGAGTTTGATAAGTTTATGAAAGTTTAGTTCACTATTTACTACCCAGTCCTAAGTCCAAGAACTTCTTCCTTGTTAGCAATTGACAGTCAGGAATTTCAGTATGAATCTCCATATTCACTGCAAAATAAGAAGCAATTGTATTCAGCCGATTCAACCGATTCAACTGTTTGTTATGAACAAAAGTCGCTAATTTATCATCTATCCAAATATATTTTCCCACGTATTAAACACACCAATACATGATACAGACATTCAGATATTTGTACAACAACTCAGCTTCTACGTTAAACAATGTGACCAGCTTGAGAAAACTGATATACTTTTTGTGACAATTTCTAAATTATTCCATGCTACATAAAATTGAAGTCAGCGTACCAAAAGTGATTAGTCAACATGTCTGTTGATTACCGACTAACACAAATACCATGATTCCAAACATTCTCCACCATCCTCTGTATTTCATCCATTCAGCATACCCACATATGTCCATATGCATCGATATGAGTGAAAACACTTCATGATGCCTCTCCGCTACTTGATGTTCATGTAGACGGATACGAAGAGTGTGATCACTCTGTTCAACCTAGTGCCTCCCACAATTGCCTCACTCCATTTTTCTACATAATATTTGCTTCATCTTCATTCACTGTCATATCTTCTTCAACTCGCATAACACAGAGTGAAGAGATTTTGTGAGCATGTGAGTTACAGTGATTCTGAAGGCTTTCAATAATCCAGTCGTCATCTCAGAGACGTTCTTCATGTTGGGTAAGACAATACTTTTGTTGCTTTTCCAGGTTGACTTCTTGTTTAACGACAAACTATGCAATCATCGATTGATGAAATTAATTGCATAGACAGCTGTTCACCTGCAAAGCAGACATTTAATCATTTCCTTCTCTTCTCCACAAGATACATGAATTACAGTCTGTCTTTACTCTCTTCAACATTGCTTTCGTAAAACTCATTTTGTGTGTTGTTGAGTTGTAACTATTCCACCTCATGGTTTGATCCGCATCAGTTGGCTTTCAGTACAGTCCAGTTTACAAAGCTGCAAGTTTGTTATTTGATTACTCTTCCATCGTGAATTTGATGTCGTCGAGAATGTTGTCGAACTAATTGTCAGCGTTTTTTCACTCCGCTTTTTCTAATCATGACAAACGTGTCATCTACTCATCAGACTCAATATTTTGGTCTCATCAACGTCAATATCACACTTTCCAATCTTCACATTGTTGCCTCTACAATTAGTCTTCACATATGTCGTCTCCTTCACTGATATTCCATTTGTCTGTTTGTAGCCTTCACCTTCAATTGAAAGTATGATGTGAGAGGTAAATGGATTGATTCTATTGAAATGGGACATTTTAGTTGTGTGTGTGTGTGTGTTCCGAGAGGTGTGTAACAATGCTGAGGATGTAGAATCACTTCATGTTTGATCAGTTTCAGTTCATTGGAGGTGTGTAGCATTGTTTCACTGACAAACACCATTACTTCGTCCTTGTCAATATCGGTATGCCTTGTATTTTCCGAAAGTTTTCATTTGAAGTGTTATTTGAGTAGTCAGATGATTCTGTCAGTTGTTTTGTATATACTTTGAATAGTTCTAATGAGAGGTTGTATGTCGGGTTTTCTGGAAGTGAAATAATTAG